CACAAAATACTAAGTGGTTTTGTTATGGAGCCAACGGTTGGCTCCACAGTGGAACCAACCTTCTATATACAATAAATAAATCTACCATGTTCTATGATTACTTAAATAACATTAATATAATTTTATTAGCATGGTAGGTTAATTTGTGTGTTAATACCATTAAATGGCCATAAAGATTTACAAAACACAAATTTTGACCATGTTTTGTAAAAAACATCCTTTTTAGCCATTTTGACATGTGCTATTACAAAATTGCCCCTTAATGGTATTAACAATTTCTTTCCCCCAATTCACATTTCACCTCACTCAAACACAATTCATTTCCCCCTATTTGTGTTCCACTTTCACAGAAAAAATAATTCATTTCCCCCCATTTGTGTTTCACTCTCACAGAAAAAAAAAAGGCAAAATTGGCTTGAATTTTCACAGAAAAAAAAAAAACGCAACTCCAATTCTCCAGCCCCAATTCTCCGAGCCCCGCAACGCTCCAATTCTCCAGCCTGCAACGTTCTTTGTGACCTTCGAGCACCTCATCCCCGGCGAATCCGAAAACAGGTAGTTGTTTCCCCAATTCCGAGCTCGCCGTCACGCTGTTTTCACGACCTCCGACATCGGCTGCTCCTCGTCGGCAAAAAATTGATCCCGCAGCTTCACCGGTAATTAAGGTTCTCATCCCTTAATTTTTTGTGCTCACCGGAATTAGGGCTAAGGCTTTGCAAATCGATTTTTGTTCTTCTTTCAATTTTCACCGGCGAACCGAGCCACGTCGTGACCCAACCGAACACTGTGGCGACGAACCTAACACCCGCAATCTCCAAGCTCTGACCTCCAGCCAGTTAGTCTTCCTTTTACGGCGACCGTCCTTAGCATCCGACCTCTTCCGACCTTTTACGGTTAGTCTTCTTTTTATGTTGTGTCTTTTGTGCATTATTTTGACCGGGATCTTGTGATGTTGTGATGAACCATTATGTGTTATGCTAGATTTATTAAGTTTGTTGAAATTATGGGTTATTAGGCATGCTAGATTTGTTATGCGATGAAACATTATGTTGTGTTTGAAATGTTTGTATGCTTTGTTGTATTTGGGCTGAGAATGTGAGCTCTTTATGGCTCCTTATGTATACTACGAGAAATGAGAAAATAATAAAAGAGCAAAAGAGGCATTCTGTTGAAATGTTGTCTTGTGAGTTTTTGTGCATTTTGTGGGATTAAATGTGAATTGTGGGATTAAATTTGGGACACCTTAAAATGTGGGATTAAATTTAAGCATTTTGTTGGGCCCTGTTTTGAGGAAAAAAGGGTGTGAATTGACAGCAGATGAGGCCTTTAATGTGTCTGCTGATTGTGTGATTGTGTAATGTTTGGAGTCTCATGAAATCTATTACCTTCTTGAGAAACTATGTAATTAGTAGTGTGTTGATGTATTTGGTGTAATATGGCTTAGTGTGTAATAACCTATGAGTCTTAGTCCCAGTGGCTTCCATTGATGTATGTTGCTTGTATTATGTTGTAGTCTATGTGGTTCTCTATCTACAATATCAGTCTGGTTTTTAATGATTATTATTTTTTTCTGTTTAACCATGCATTTTATAGGCTAAACTTAATGTTTATTATTTTTTTTTCCATTGATTATTATTTGTTTTTAGGTCTCAAGATTATACAGCTGTCCTGTATTGTCTTAGACAGGTAATACATCATTTCATTTGATGAACTCATTTTTATAATTGATAATAACCCGAGCTTTTCCTTGCAGTTGTTTGAGAAAGTTGAAGTGGAGAAGCCACAAGCTAGTCGATCAGCTTCTGCTGAAATATATGTTTTGGGTTTCAAGTACAAAGCACCTGCAAAGATTGATCCTCGCCTTCTTGATGTGAAGCATCTATTTCTGGGAGGAAAAGAACCGCCAAAGGTAATTTTCACTCCCCTAGTCTAATTATTAACTCAATTGCCATTCATTTTCTATCTAAAATGATACTCATCCATGTAATATGAATGATTATAGATTGTGGACGTACTCAGAGGAACAAAGCAAAAGCGACATCATGATGGGTACAATTTACATTTGTTAATATGATGTTTGATTATCTTGTAGCGTAACATACCAATATATTGTCGTGTGACTGGGCTGAAAAAGTTTATTCTATGAACCAAACACATCTTTTATGTTCCTTTTCTTTTGAGTGATCTTGTAGGTTCCTTCAGCTGTGCTCATGAGAAATATATAATTACTGTTTCTAGAATTACTGTTAATTGCTCAATATATTTGTACCCATTATTTTAGCCCATATGTTTCCAACTAACATTTTCATGGGTTTTGATAGTTCAATTTTCTTAGTTGTATGGTGCTTTTTTTTTTCAATTTCTATTTTGAGTTTGTAGTCATAAGATGATAACCTTTGCAGGTATGAGGAGGTAATGGATGCCGGAGAGACTCGCCGGAGTGGAGGTGTGGCCGGTGAGAAATGCGGGTCGTGATTTTCGGCTTTAGGGTTCCCGAATTCGAACTCGAACTACCCGGTAAATTACAGGGTGAAGAATCTTGGATTGTGACGACGAATTTCTGAAAAAATACAAGGATTTCGAGATAAATTGATAATCGATGGTTTGAATTTTTGAGAGAAGTCGCGGATTTGAGAGGAGATAGAGTCGAGAGAATGGCCCCAAAACATGCTCAAGTTTCCTGATGATGAAGCGACAGTCGAGGGATCAACTTGAGGGACAACACGACAACAAGTCGTGGAGTAATGCTCACGTTCATTACAACGAGTACAAAATGATGATTTTCCAGAACTTGAAGAAGTGAAATCGATACTCACATGTGTGTTTGTCTCCACCAACAATGTCATTAACTCTATTTAAAAAGTCTTCATACGACAAACTCCCCAAACACATAAAGTTCATCTCTGCCTGTCCATTTTTATAAACATTCTCATCCCAAAATCCGCTATGCACAATTCGAACATTTTCACACATATGTAAACCAAAGATGTAAAAATATTTAATGACAAACAATTTCTAGCAAGAAATATTTGAGAATAAAGTAATCAATGTTTATAATAAAACAAATAGAATGGTTTACAAAATGATTTTTGAAATCACACAAATTGTTCGTACGATTCGAAAAACATTTTTGTGATGTATCTATTGTTTCTGAGATCCCATAAACCGTGTTTCTTGTGATTCAAAACAGATTTCTGGGACAAGAAATCGATTTCTGAGACTAGAAATCGATTTTTGGGAATAGAAATAGATTTCTTGTCCAGAAACTGGATTTCTGGTCCCGATTTCTGGGCCAGGCCTAGAAATCGATTTCTAGGCCAGAAATGTCATTTATAACCCAGAAACGTATTTCTTGCCCAAAAATCAATTTCTGGGCAAGAAATCACATTTCTGATACTAGAAATCGATTTCTGGACATTTCTGGACAAGAAATCAATTGTTAGTCAAGAAATTCATTTCTTGTCAAGAAATTGATTTGTTGTCAAGAAATCAATTTCTTGGCAAGAAATCACATTTCTGGGACTAGAAACGGAATAATCCAGAAAACGATTTCCGGGTTCCAGAAATCACATTTCTGGCCTAGAAATAACATTTCTGACCCAGAAATTGATTTCTCGCCGGGAAATGTAATTTTTGGGCTACAAATTAATTTCTGGACTAGAAACGAGACAATCCAGAAATCGATTTCTGGTTGGGTCAGAAATGTGATTTCTGGGTCAGAAATCGATTTCTAGGACAAGAAATGAGACTATCCAGAAATCGATTTCTGGGTCAGAAATGGGATTTCTGGGTCAAAAATTGATTTCTAAGTGACTATCCAGAAATTGATTTCTGGGTCAGAAATTGATTTCTAAAACAAGAAATGAGACTATCCAGAAATTGATTTCTGGGTCAGAAATGGGATTTCTGGGTCAAAAATTGATTTCTAGGTCAGAAATCGATTTCTAGGACAAGAAATGAGATTATCCAGAAATCAATTTCTGGGTCAGAAATTAATTTCTGGGTCAGAAATCAATTTCTAGGACAAGAAACGAGACTGTCCAGAAATCGATTTCTGGGCCTAGATTCGATTTCTGGTCCGAGAAACCATTCAATTTTCCAAGAAATCTATTCTGCAATTTTTTTTTTGCCATATTCATTTTATTAATTTGAAAAAGAAGATAAATTATAACAATATTTAAACTAATATTTCCAATATATCACCGAAATGTTGCCGGAATGAATATAGTAAAAATGATTCTTTTTTTTTTTTGTTAAGAGAATGTTTTTTTAGATGAGTGTATAAAATTGATGAATGAAGAGGAAGTGAATGAAGAGAGAAGAGAGATGAGAGAAGAGAGATTATTTTTTTTAAAAAAATTGTAGTAAGGGTATTTTTGACATTTTAAGTGCCAAAATGGCTAAATAAAAGGTTTTTTTTTTTTAAAAAAAAAAATGTGGCCAAAATTTGTGGTATACAAATCTAAATGGCTAAAAAAAAAAATTCACTGTTTATTTGTTGTATATAGAAGGTTGGCTACATTATGGACCAAACTGTTGACTTCATAGCAAAACCGAAATACTAAGGGCTTGAATGTTTACAAGCTAATGTACTCACATTTATTTTATACTCAATCTTTAATTCAACCCCACTATTTTCAATAGTATTTTTATACAACCAATCATTTTTACACATCACATCAACTTTAATGCACTATTCATCAATCATATAATTTCAACTACGTATCATTTCCAATCATTTATCTCGTACTTTTACATCAAATCGATTTTAATCATTTTATTTTAATTATTATTTTAATATTCTACTAACAACTAACTATAACACAGTTTTTAAAATTAACCATGATTAGCCAAATAACTCATTTTGAAACGAATAATTTGATATACAAGCTAGCCCTAAAAAAATCCACATATCCATATACTTTTACCGTTGGACGCCTCCAATTCTGAGTCCCTATTTCCGATTCGATATCTCCTCAAGTCCCGCTAAAACCGAAGCGATGAACTGCCGGAACCGCCATCGCTCTCACGCTCCGCAGCCGCTGCCGTCGGCCGAGTCCATCAAACTCAAGATGTGGCAAATCGTCTCCCGCCACGAGCAGCTGAAAGTCGCCTTCCACCAGCTCCATTCTCAGATCAGGACCGGTCTGCTTGAGGTACGGTCGCAATCGACGGTTCTCTGTGATTGCCTCGAACGTTTGTTCTATAATTTTCCCCTCAGTGCTTCGTGTTATGGCTTTTCCGGCGCAAGGCGGAGGAAGTATTCGCGTCGCTGGCTACACCCCTGACGAAGCTGGTTGGGCTGAAGACGGTTGAAATGGCTGCCGAGGGGAGATTCAGCACTATTTTCACTTCTGTTGATCGTTTCCCTTCTCAGGTTATTCAGTGTTTGGTCTTAAATTCGATCCACGGTTAAGCTTCCTTACTTGCTCTGCTGATTTTATTTTTTTTTTTTACTTAATTTTCTATGCGTGAATGTGTGCACGCACATGCGTTTCTGTCACAGTAATGCCGATTTGGTTGTTGTGTGCTTTTTTTTACGGAGGTTAATTATATGGTGTTGGATAGTACCCAGCGCAGTAGTGTTTGTATCAGAGTGAGAAATTGCTGATGATGGGATGTTTTTTCAGTCGCTAGCTTATGTGGTGTATTTGTCCTTTAGTTCTTGTTCCCTGACACGGTTCAATGTTTTGAGATCTTCAATTAGGTTTGACCAAAGCTGATTGTTTTTGATCTTTTGTCAAGAAAAAGATGTAAAACTTCTCATGTTTAGGCAGGAAACTGAATCAATGTTTCATGGTTTGGAAACGTAGGTCGATTTCCGTGTAAACAAGATTGAGGAGTTTGAACCTTTGCGATTGCCTAACATGAGATTGAATAATATAAACCGTATGGAACTTTGAAGTTATCATACTGAATAAAAGTCTGGTTAGTATATTCCGCACACTGCTCGTGTAGATCTATATATGGAGTTGCGAGCTTAAGGGCTTAGCACGGAATAAAACTACTGCTAATCATACACTGAAGTTAAGTTTCCGTTCACCACTTCATCCCGATGTATGTGCTTTAAAGTTCAAGATGTAATGGTATCTTTAAATCTCCATTCATATCACACTTGGTAACTGTCAGAGCAAAATCCCCTGTCGAGCTCCCATGCAAAACATTTTGATGAGATGCAACATAAAGTGTGGCAGTATTTCTAAATTCTTGCACTCATGGGCGCACTGTTAACTGATTACCTAAAACTCTCTCGGTATTCTTCTCTGTTTTTCTGTTTTCATTTATTTTAATTTGAAATCACCTGTGGCAAGCTCTCTGAATTTCAGCAAGAGAACTACATGGTCAGAGCCACCACCGCTGGCAACGAGTTCATGGAGAGACAGAAGCTACAGCTTATGCAGCTCATCAGCCTTCTCAAGAAGATCGAGGCTCAGGTCAACTTGAGCCAGAGAAGCATCTCCCAGAATCTATCTGACCATCAGGCTGACATGGAAAAGTTCTTCCTAAAAGCTTTTGCATACATTTCCTCAACTCACCAGTCTGGCCCCAGCAACGAACTCTTCCATGTGATGTTAAAGATACTCAGGGCCACATTCAACCAGGTAGTGGCTGCCCTCGAGTCGGTTGAGGTCGGAATAGATGACCTTATCCGTGAGCTGGCTCAGAAGATGTGTGGTCCCATGGTTGAGTACGCCAATGGTCTCAAGGTCGAGATTAGAGCGGGGACGTGCTCTCGGTTGCTCGAGGTCATTAAGGAGATGGACGGGGCAATGAAGGTTAGGGAGTTGGAGTTGGAGGAGGCGAGAAAGCGCGCGAGGTCAGCGGAAGAGGGAAGGATCAAGGCCATGAACATGCTGATGAAATTGGGGAAAGCGGGTGGGAAAATGACCATGTCGTCCCCAGGATTGTTAATGGAAGATATTAAGGAGTCGGGAGAACACTCGACACGTGAAAAGGTATCTCTTTTGTTGTCATGATGTACTGATATTTGTTGGGAAATTCTTGATTTATCTGATCGTTGAGGGTGCTCTTTTGAATATTTTATTTGCTAGGGGAGTATTCTGCTTGCTTGGTACATGTTAAGAGAATCTTATAACTTCAGCTTTTATTTTTCATTTTTCTTTTTTTGAAATGTATAAAGCATTGAGAGTGGTTACTGATGGAATTTCTTGGCCAGCAAACAATTAAATAAAAACATCAAGAAAAACAAATAAATAAAAGTTCCTGTTGGATAAAACTATTTGCCAATATTAGATCATGGAATAGTAAAGTAGTTCCTTCTTGCAGGTTAGTCATGATATTTTTCCTTCACAACGTAGTAATATCACATGAAATATGAATGCCATGTTTACCATACTTCATTTGTGTTGGTTTTTTGATAATCTGGCTTGAAAGTGCAGACCCTTAATAATCATTAGCCATGATTAAAACAAATAATAATTCTATGATCATATTTACAGAAAAACCAAGTGATCTGTCATCATTTAAGTAGCACCTTACTACAAATACCCATCACAGTTTGCTTTGAATTTTGGCAAATATCCAACCATGTTGGCCAAAATTTGTAAAAACAGAAACATATACTGTGATAGTCAGTCTATTTTTGGAAGACAAATGAGGTTTTAGGTGGTCCCGCAAACCTTAGTGTTCTTTCTACAACTAACCTTCGTTTCTATATCTTCTGGTGCTGAAGTTGTTCCATTCTTTGTTGTCCTTTTCCTTAATTTTTCTGTAGTCTTTGGGCACTAAGGCAGATCAGGGAAAAGATGAAGACTTACTGTGGGAACTCCTGAGGAAGAAAAGAAAATGCCACGTACCAGATAGTCCCCTTGGACCGAATGAGCTTCTGGGCATAGGCACGTGCAGCAAAAAGCTTAAGGCGACAAGGTTGTTACCCCCGCTCGGTAACAGACCTGTTACACGTTCCGCTTCAAAAACAGCCAAATTACAGTCTTCCTTGAGCAGTTACAGGTTGCTCTTAGGTTCTTCCCCTTCAACAGCAATTAATTGAAAAGTTTTAGGCAGGAGGTGAGTAGCTCCCTAGTTTCATGTTTAACGAAAAACACTGCTTATTGCATAATTGGTTCAATGCTATTGAAATTTCTAGTATTATCTCGTCACAGTTGAATTTCTTTTCCTGTGAAAACCGTAGAATTTAATTCCTGTTGGTGGTTCTGGTTTTGTTTATGCATAGTACATTCAGAAAGATGAAGAAATATTGAGTTTATCCGAATTCATTCATGCCAAACATTTTGTATGCACACGCAGGTCGTAGCTATGAACAGCAAAAAAAGAGAGTTATCTCCAGATCGGATTTTTGATTGAATTTTGTGGCCACAATGTTTTTTTGCATGAAAAAAAAAGCAAACCATGTTCAAATTTTCATCAGAGATTCAGAATTCCCACCAATGGAAGCAAGAGTGATGCGATATAATTTTGTAGGTGCATTTTTTAGATTGATTGGTACAAATGTTAGATTGCAGCTTTTGAAGTTCATTTCCACTCAAATTTGGGCAATTTGAGAGAGCACTAAAAGAACACTTTTGTTCAAATGAACCGTAGAGCTTCTCGTTCTGTTTGTAGGTTGTGGAATTTTAAAGCACATTTCATCTTGTTTTAAGTTTTAACATATATTACTCCAGTATATTCTTTCACATATGCATGCTAACATGCGAGTAACATCGAGATGATTAGAAATGTTTGTCTGCTTGAACTGTTGATTTGACAACCATTCATATACTTATATGCAGATAATTTAATTACGGAATACAAAAAATATTTCATCCTACCCCCGTGGGTAGTGCCCCACAGGCTTTAGCCATTGAATTAACACACTCACACGGGTATGTCTGCGTATATGTATAATCCAATGGCTAAAAAACCCTTACGGAGGCACTAACCACGTGGTTGGATCGAACCTTCCGAGTACCGGATGATTGTCAAATTATAGTTACAGATCCATATCTTGTTTTGTGAAAGGACTAGCATGCCATCATTCCATGAGTAGTTGAAAACATTCTACAAGCAAAAAAATGCTTCATCATCAACAATTCTTACAACTGCAAACTTTTTACAACTTTTTGAGTATATTTCTTAAACACAGAAACCAAACAACCGTGAACAAGACCGGTGAAAATTTTCACAAAGTGACCACTTGAGCACGGCTTAACTGCAAAAAAATGCAACCCCATAAAGATCGCCGCATATCGTTGGACACAGTTGTATTTATTTTTGAAGCTCTTCATGCTTCAAGATGCTGCATTTTCTAGATTAATAAAAAGTCCAAGTTAATTTTTTATATGCCCACCTCTTGCTTCTACATTGAAACAACTAGATATACAGTAAGGTCAAACAGTCTTGGCTTTATTGTCTGTGGCTATCGGATCTTGGCTATGATGATCCTTCTGAATAGAATTTTGTGAATTTGCATTTCTTTCAGCTTCAGCTTGCTCAACTAGAGTCTGTCTTTGCATGGCCATCACCATCTCTCTCATAGATTTATCCTCACCTTCGAGTTGTGCTTGCATAATACTCGCAGCCTCCTTGTCTATTGGCTTAAAGTACTCTTCAAGTGTTGCTTCCTGTATTTTAAACTACTGTTCAGACAAGTGACAATGGACGAAAATAAAAAAGCAAAAGAAGAAAAAAAAAATGTAGTGAAGTAGTTTGACTTGACCGAGTATAGATCAAATATTCTAAATTAGAACAAAGGATGCTAGACAAAGCATATACATATATAACAAACACCCAAATAAAAGGAAATAAAAGAGGAACCAAGAAATGTCTGTGAGAAAGCATGACGATAAAATCTTACATCCAACCAATTATTATAACATAAGTTGCATGTATTGGACATCTAATGGTAATAGTCGAACAACTAAGATAAAATCATATATCGAAGTAAAATTTTCAGTTGGGTAGTTTCTTATACTGTGCCAATAATTGTTGTTATTACCCATGGTGCTAGGGATGAGTCTGGGTTGGGTATGGGTTTTGGCAAACCAAGACCCGACCCGCATATAATTTATCTTACCCAAACCCGACTCGTTACCCGGATAGTGATCTTCGGGTTCGAGTTGGGTTTTACCCGGCGGGTTAGTGGGTTTTCGTCGGGTAAACGGGCAACTCGAGTCTTAAATTTAGGTTTTTCCCGATCCATCTCATTTCATATGAAAAAATAAAATAAAATAATTTTACAATTAATTATAATGTAAGAAATAATTTATTAACTAAGTTTGACAATAAAAAACTATAAAAAAATATATTATTTTTGGAATAATTAATGAAATATGATTATTTATCTTTTATAGTCTATTTAATATTATAACATTTAAAATTAAATATTTATTTTTTTATTATAAAATTAACAAAAAATGATAATAAAATTATAAAAAATAAATTAAATTTAACCATTAATCAAAATTATAATAGATAATCTAATTTTTAAAAATAACACATGACTACTTTTATATTTATTATAAGTTATAAATATATATGTATATGTATGTATGTATATATGATTAAATGATTGCGGGTAAACAGATAGGGTAATCGGGTTGGGTAATGAGTTTGCCTACTATACCCGCACCTAGACGTGGCCAGGTGCCGGGTTCCGGCCCGGCCCGGCCCGGCCCGGCCCGCCGGGCCACCGGTCCTGGGATGGGCGAACCGGGACC